TTAAGCCACCCTCCCCCAGTCTGACCTCTCAGTCTGGCCTCTGCTCTTTTCATCACCCCAAGCCCTATCTTGGATCCTTTTTCCTGCGGGTCACACACTCGAGGTCTGTCAACAGCCCCTTCTCCATCCTGGCTGTGATTCAGTCTGTCAGTGTCCTGCTTAAAGCCAAGGCATCTTCTTTTTGTTGATGCAAGGGGGAGTGATGGGGCCACGGCTGCCCCAGGAGTTAAGTTTTCTGGCCCCAGTACCTCTAGGACACAGAGCTGGCTCTCAGACTACCTCCACCAATGACATCAGGACGACTCACCAGAGGGTGGCATGGGCTTGCTGCTGGGCTCAAGGACCAGAAGGACAAGGCCCTTTCCTAACCATCTCCCCTGCAGGACAATTGCCCTTCCAGTCCCCTGCTTGGGACGACACCCAAACATCCAAACAGAGCACAACCTTACCCAGGTCTTACTAAACCTCAAAACTGCACACTGTCACCAAAAAAGAAGCTTAAAAGAATCTTCTAGTCCAAATGATCTTAAATGCACAAGAAACCTCTTGGCAAGGACCTCACCAGCCCTCCACCCCGCTCTCCCATAGAGACAGGGCAGGACTGGAGGGCATCCCAGGCAGAGGGCAGCTGGCAAATGCACAGAGGCAGGAGACAGCTGGCAGGGCTGAGAGCCACCAGGAGTCGCTCTACCATGGCTGACGCACCAAGTCTGAGCCAGGAAGGTAGTAGATGGAGTCAGGATAAGGCAGATGAGCCTCCCTTTCCACTCCATCTGCTGAGTGAGAGAGGTGCTGTCAGCAGGGAGGACAGCGTATGATGGCCCAACGGGGGTTTCAGGCAGATTGCTCTGGGGCTGTGTGGAAGGCACACTGCACTGATAAGGTGGAACAACCCATGCTCTTCGGGTCAAGAGGTCAAAGACGGTCAACAATGGCTTCGAACCTGAGTGGCTGACATCACAGAGAAGCCCCATGTGTGTCCTGTCCCAGCACAGGACATCATGCTGCCAAGCTGGGAGACATAAGGGTACCAGAAAGCCAAGAAACAGAACTCAGATTGATCAGCAGAACTCAGATCTCTCGGAGGAGCAGAGGACAAAGCAAGCTGCCCCTCCCCGAGAGAGAGAAAACATGGCTGGCAGCAGAAAGACATTGTTAGTGATGGGACAGGTGATGTTTGTACTCAAATATGAACCACTTACAGTGAGCAAGGGTCCTCTTCGGTGAGATCCGCTAGGTACACATTGGCAAAGTGGATGAACAGCATTCCTATGGCTTGTTTGGAAGTGTCTAGAAACCTGTACAAAATAGGATTGGCACTGGTGATCACACTGACAGGAGGGTAGTAACCAAGCTGGGGAAAAGCTAAGTCTGAAGTAGGAAAAAAGCCACTGGGAGACCCCAACTTCCAATTACTAATCACCTCTTCCTGGGCCATCAGTACTAACCCAGGCTTGGTGATTCAGTGACTTTTCAAAACCATTAATAACACTGCACTCAAATCCCTAAAAGGCCACTGATTAATAACATACAGGGTAAGTGAAAGTAGGTTTACAGTTGTTCACATGGAAAATAATACAATCTTATCTAATAAAGAGGCGACATGCAAATTGACCATCACTCCAACACACAAGATGGCCACCCCCATGTGGTCAAAGATGGCCTGCAGGGGAGGGCAGTTGTGGGTGACCAGGCCTGCAGGGGAGGGCAGTTGGGGGTGACCAGGCCTGCAGGGGAGGGCAGTTACTTCCTACTGGGGATCAAGCCTGCAACCCTGGCATGTGCCCTTGACTAGAATTAAACCCGGGACCCTACAGTCTGCGGGCCAAAGCTCTATCCACTAAGCCAAACCAGCTAGGACCTCCCCCATTTTAAAAATGAAGAAACTGAAGCTCAGAGAGGTTAAACAGCTTTTTCCAAGGTCACAAAACTAGAAAGTGATGGTGCTGGGATATGGACCGGGTCTATCACCAACGTCTATGCTCTTAATTACTTCTTGCTACAGCCCGACTTTACAAAAAGTAAACATAGAAAGACCATTCAGAGAAAAGCTATTATGTGTCTTTGGGACTTGGTTCTTGCATTATTCATCTAATGCTGTGAACCAAATCACCCCCTAAATTAGTAGAATCATTATTATCTCATAGTGCCATAAACAGGGATGGGCAAAAGTAGGTTTATAGTTGTTTACATGGAAAAATACATATAATAAATAGTAATAAAAGAATAAACTGTTTCCCATACTCACAACTGTAAACCTATTTTTGCCCCCCCCACCCCCGTATATTTAAACACATTCAACACATTTCAAACATGTTTTTCCTTTTTCATTTCCTGTTACTTTATAATGAAATGTCTGATCCCAGCTTTGTGATGAAGTGCAAGGTGCCTCTAGTTTAAGGAGCTCCCGCTCGACCCCACTAGCACCGAGCTAAGTGCTATGCACGACTAAGCAGCCCCGCCCAAATCCAGGTCTGCAGCTGAAGCCCTGAGCCACCATCAGCTGCTGCTGGTAACAACAGACAGGGTCGGGGTGGGCAGACCTTTTTCTGTAAAGGGTCGGAGAATAAATATTGCAGGCTCTGTGGGCTGTTGTTCTCTGCAGCAATTACTCAACACTGTCACTGTAGCCTAAAAGTGGCCGTAGTCACTACCATTCCTATAAGACTTCATTTATGAAAACAGACAGTGAGCTAGAACGGGTCTGCAGGCCACTGTTTGCCGATCCCCGGGCTAGGTAACCGTCGCCTTGTGAGTGACTTCTTTGTTGGAGTTGTGTCTATAGAAGCTATGTCTGAAGCTTTACCGTCATTTTTATGGAGGAAAAACTGTCACCACAGGGTCAACCTAGGACCGAGAAAGACTAGCTTTGGGGAGAGGAGCATTTACGTGGTGCATTTGACTAATCTCCAAAGTTAGATTATTTTTTGCTCGTGCATACAGACTACAGAACCTGAGGGCCTAACATAATATAACAGGGAGCCGTTACTACAGAGCCTGCAGCACAGACCGATGCTTCTGTGTTATCTCCCACCTTCTAAAATCGGACAAGAGTGAGGAAAGAACAAAGGTAGGGCTCAACATGTATCTGAGAAATGGAAATGCTTTCCTATCATACGTAGTTCCTAATGATTAATTCATTAAGGGAGTCCAACACTTTGTTATGTATAATTGCTCACATTCCATCCCCTCCCTCCCCCAAACCGTCCAAACCATTCTAGGAATGAGCTAATATTTAAATACCTACCATATCCTCCACGGACGTCTTTCATGCTTTGGTTCTCGGAAGCGTTTGACTGAAAGAAAAGATAGACATTCAGTAGCTTTCCACAGTGATAACAAAGCAAAATGCACACACAGTGCCTACAATGTCAAGTTAAGGTACTTGCTCCATAAGCCGTGAAGGTCACAGGGTCCCTGCATTGGGACAGGCTCTGCAGGATTGGGCACTTAGGAAGAATGACTCCTCACAGTGTGTGGAAAATTGTATTTTCTTCTTTTTGTGTGACAAGGCTCTTGGGAAACGACAAACAAGGACGTAGCTATTACTAACTTCAGGATATGCTCTACCCAAAGACATATCCAGCCATCCACCCAAAGGTTCACTGCGTGCCACTGCCAGCCAGCCACTGCGGAGACATGAGCAAAGGCAGTGGCTTGGCAGGAGGGCAGGCACATAACCAATGGGTGGCAAGTGGTAGGGAAGAGGCAAGTTTGGGGCAGCGTGAGAGCTCGAGGGAAGGCTGACCAGCCTGCCTGCGTGGAAGAAGGGTGCAGGTGGGAGAGGTGTCGCTGGTGGGAGGGGAAGGTCCTGAAGGCTGGGCTGGAGTTTAGCAAATGGATCAGGGAGGGAAGAGAGGTATGTTCTGGACAGAGCACACACCATGAGCTCATAGGTACAGGGATGTAACGTGGCAGTGTGTGTGTGTGTGTGTGTGTGTGTGTGTGTGTGGCATAATTTGATTTGGCTTTGATACAGCAGGTAACAAGGGAGACAAATGAGCAGAGGCCACATGAGGGAGGGTCTTAAAGGCCCGGCTAAGGAGTCTGGACTGAATCTTGTAGGGGAAAAAAGAAAGACAGGAAAGATGCTAAGCAAAGTCAAAGACACGGTGGGAATCGTGTTTTGGAAAAGTGGCTCTGAATTGGGTAGATTCAGAATTGGGTTCCTGGGGTGGAGAGGGCTGAGGAAGGACACTGGCTGTGTCACAGACCAGACAGGGGACTCCCAGCTACAGAACAGCCAGCAGGGGTGGGTGATCACTCAGCAACAGCCTGACTCCTTCACTCGGGTCTACAGACACGACTGTTTGAACAGAGGAAACCGAAGGTTTCTGAGGGCCCTGTCCTCCAATGAAGCTCCAGGCAGACTATCCCCACAGGATTCTATCTACTGAAACAAACACAGAGAGTGTGCACGTGTGATGTCCCACACACAAGTACCGGGAAGAAGCAGATGTGGAGGCAAGCTCATGGGGGATGCAAGCCCATGAAGGATGCAAGTCCATGGAGGATGCAAGTCCATGGAGGGTGCGAGCCCACAGGGGATGCGAGCCCCTGGAGGATGCCGCAGGAAGAATCAACTCCAGCAGAGCCCTAAGCTACCAAAGAGGGTGCGGGAAGGAGGAAGATAGGAAGGGAAAACAGCACCCAATCAATTAACCTGACCTCTCTAAATGAATACAGGCAGTCCGCAGTATGCAAAGCAAGGACTGTCTGTACACAGAAATGACATAAGTCTGATGTTTAGAGAAACATTTTGATAGAAAACAAAAGCAGGTGGAATTATAAGGTGGTCTGCCATTCTGCTGACACATCACTCATGCGGGACATCAATAATGCTAAAGAAACTGCTAAAGAACCTGCTTGCACAAATGCCTTTTGAGGCAGGAGGCCTCCTTCCCACAAGCAACCTCGTCTCACCGAGGGGCTGGGCTCAGCAAGGAGATGTGCAGGAGACTGGGCCAGGACTAAGCAATCTGGAGGGAAAGCCCCAGTCAGGGCTGGAGCCTTGGCATGCTCATGGGGAATCTGTCCCCATCAGTATAAAATAAAGGGCATTGAAACATATCCCAATAGAACATCCTCATTTTTTCCCCATTGATTTTTAGACAGAGTGGAAGGGAGAGGGGAGAGACAGAGAAACATCGATGTTGAGAGAGACACATCGATTGGTTGCCTCTCGCATGCGCGCCCCAACCAAGGGATCGGGCCCACAATGGAGGCACATGCCCTTGACCACTATCGAACCTGGGACCCTTCAGACCTCAGGCCGGCGCTCTATCCACTGAGCAAAACTGGCTAGGGCACGTCCTCATTCTTAGGACACAATGAGAAGGAGGCCATCTGTAAGCCAAGGAGGAGGCCGTGGAAGAAACCAAACCTGCCAACCTAGCCCTGGGACTTCCAGCCTCCCGATGGTGAGAAAATAAATTTCTGTTGTTTAAGCACCCACTTTGCAGTGTTTTGTTATGTCAGCTTTAACAAATGTGGCAGCAATAATTGGTGAGCCTAACTGAAGAATACTCGGGTATTTATTAAATTACTAGACTATTTTATAGATGTAACACTTTGAAAGTTGGGAGGAAAACATACTCTAGAAGAATGAACTATGTGCCCATTCGGAGGTCATTTGGGAATATCTATCACAGTATTACATGCCAAGCCCTTCAACCTGCCATGCACTGCCAGGTATGTGTTCTATAGGTATTACCGCAACATGTGCCAAGATGTATAGGGATCTGCACTGTAACGCTGTCATAACAAAAACCCAGAAAGAAATCAATGCCCAGCTGGGCACATACATCATGGCACAATGCAACATTAGGCAGTTACTAAAACAAGGCAGGTCTGTATGGAACAATATGGAAAGATTTCCAAATTATTATTATTATTATTATTATTATTATTTGGTTAATCACCACCTGAGGATATTTTTCCCATTGATTTTCAGAGAGAATGGAAGGGAGGGAGATGGTGGGGAGGTAGGGGGCAAGGGCAGGGAGAGAGAGAAAGAGAGAGAGAGAGAGAGAGAGAGAGAGAGAGAGAAACATTGATGTGAGAGAGACATGCACTTCGACAGGGGCCGGGGATTGAACCTGCAACCCAGGTATGTACCTTTGACCAGGAATTGAACCCGTGACCTTTCAGTGCACAGGCCAAAGCTCTATCCACTGAGCCACAGTGGCCAGGGCTCCAAATTATATTAATAGCAGGATAACATGCCCACCATGACTCTGTTCATGTCCATTTTAAAGGATATATATTTACGCTGGTATTACATGTGTGTTTTTTCCCTAGAAGGACATGTGACTATTAATAAGGGCACCTTTGATTAAAGGACTGGGGGAGTACACTTTTTATGTCATTGTAAATGGCTTAAAACATTCTTCCATATTCACATTGCTTTTATTTCAAAAATTCAAAAATAAAAGAGAAACCTGTTTCAGAGACTTGCCTAATACAGCAGAGTGGGGCCTGGGAGAGGCCGTGGGACTCGGGGCTGGGCTCTGGGACAAGAAAAGGACACGGGGGTGTGCATGCCGGTCGTGCTGGGGAGCAGCTTCAGGGGCACCTGAGATGGAATTCAGGGTGGATTCGGATTCTGTGCAGGAGAGAAGTGTGGTGCCGGCGGCTCTCCATCCACCATCCCCTCTCCCAGAATATCTCTGTCTAAAATATTTTTTTTTTTAATGTAAAGGAAGAAGAAACATTAAAAGAGCTATTCCACATCTAACTTGATAGGGAAAAAACAAAGAAAAATGTGTTCGTCTCTCCAGTCACATTTTATTGAGGGGCCAGCTGTCTGACAGGCCCGTTTGGCCAGAGATGAAGCAGACAAGACCTTCGCCTTCCCTACATTCTGGGGGGATGGGCAAGTAAAGATGGAGCGGGTCAGACTGCGACACGTGACACTAAGGCAGAAAGGAGGGAGGGAGGAGGGCTGGGAAATGGTACCCACAGCATGCCCATGCCATCTCTGAGCCACTCTACAAGCCCTGCTGCACTGAATGTCCTTGCCAGGTGGGTCCATTCCCAGTGGTGGGCTTGCGGCATCGGCTGTGACAGCTGATTCTGTCACACTGCTCTCCACAGCAGTTGTAGCATTTCCCCACACCCTTGCCAGCACGCAGTATTGGCGAACCTTTTGCCTTGGTAATTTGATCACTGAAAAGGCCACCTCAGCGAGGTTGCACCGTGTACTCACCAGGGCATGTGGGTGCCTTGGCACCTGCAGCCAGCCAGGTGGGGTTGGCAAGGCTCCCACCTGCCCTCCTCTTTCGCATACACCCACGGCTCCTCCTGCTCTGGGCCCTGGCTCACACTCTTCCCTGAGGGTACCAGGACACAGTGCTGGTCACTCACATTGCTCACTCTTCTAGAAGTTGTGCCACACAACAAGACAGCAATTCTGGATTACCCAAGTCTACCTGTGTCTCCGCCACACTGAGGAGGCCCACAACAGTGGTTCTGGCGTGGTTGCTCCAAGGGGCCAAGAGGGATGTCTCCTTCGTCCCAACAGCTCCTCCCGAGTTGCCTCTTCTCTTAGCCCCGCACCTGGGGCTGGAGCGCTCTGAGCACGGCATTTCCTGCTTAAAACCATCCCGTGCCCACCCCACTGCCCTGCCTCTGGAGACACAATTCATACTTTTTCAGTTGGAAAACAAGGTCACCCCGCCTGGCACCTCCCGTCTTAGTGCTGTCGCTTACATTGCCCCTTTGGCTTGGAGGACCCCACGTTTTCTTCTCTTGAATAACTCTTAGGCATCCTTCCAGTTTTAGTTCAGACAATTCTATGCTACCTTGGGATTAGCACTTCAAATGCAACACTAGGGATTTGTCTGCCTCTCCCACCAGATAATTAGGTACAGAGGCACACAGGAACAAAGCAGACACCTACTAACCTGAAAAAGTGGAGCAGAATACACCAGAAGAACACATTAGGAAGTAAGCTCTGTAAGACCAGGGACTTCTGTTCTGTTCACCCCCATATTCCTAGTGCCTCGAGGGGGCCTGGCTCTTACCAGGCAGCTAGGAATTCATTCAATACTCTATTTATTAAGTCCTGCCCAGGTATTTATTTTTAGTTCAATAAGTTCCATGAATTTGCACAACAGGTTCTCCCAGAGCTTAGCTTGCAAGCCATTATTGCTGCAACGGGACAAAAACTGCTTAGCTCTCTCTGGTTTTAGACAGTAATCTGCCAGGAAGACTGCTCGCGGACAACCAGCCCAAACCTTTCTCCTTCTTAACCAGTCACAAGGCAGGGTGAACTTGAGTCTTCCTCCCTCACTCT